CCATTTATTGACTGTGTGACGACGAACAAGCTTCCTCATGTAACTCTATCTTAACTTCCTTGCCTGTAATAAGGAAAAACAGCAACACCTCATAGATTTGTAAAGATTAAATAAAATAATACACACAGTATCTGGCAAATGACAGAGAGTTGACAAGTGTTATTATATTAACTATTGCCATAACTATAAATAAATATAAATGATATAAACAAATTATAATAATTATTCATTTCTTCTTGAATGAGTTCCTTGTATATTTTAGACATTTATCCTTTGTGAATTTGGGATGGTACAAATATCTTAGGCAAGTCTATCATCTTTCTACCAACTAACTATCTCAAATATCTTTTCATTAAATATAAATTCTTAATTTAGGAGTCAAACTCTTTTTTCTTGCCATATACTTTGGGTGTTTTGGAGTGCTGTTTAAGAAGACTTCCCCCTCTCCAATATCACAGAAGTAGTTTGCATTTTCTTCTCATAGTCAGTTTCAAGTTTTATTCCATGCTGATCCTGGGATGAGGGTTTCTAGACTTCCCTGAACTAATTGTTCAATCAGCCTCTTGTTCATTGACTCAGCAAATGAGTGTACAAGATCCAGGAGTGAATACAGCATGCAGAGAAGGTTGGAGACACTGTGCCACTTGGTGGAGAAAATGAAGGGCTAGGAGTATCGTATTTACTCTAAATGTGGAAAGGATGTAGAAGGGTGAGAGGACAGGGGGATTTTGAAGATATAGGACTTGAACTATGCCTGGGGAATGGGATTAGAAGCCAACAGGAGCTGGGAAGGCATCCCAGGAGTGGGGGATTGCAACATGGCAAGAAAGGTGTATAGCTGAGGGAGAGAAGGTGGGTGGGGCGCTGAGGGGACGCCTCTGAAGCAGGCAATGGATGAATACTGGGAAAGAGATGAAGTTCAGTTCTGAAGACCAAGCAGAGGCTCCTGGATCTGGTATGACATGCAGTAGATATTCATCGGTTGTGTGTGTGTTTCTGAGAGGGAGAGGTGAGGAGGGAGTGGGGACCTGTTAGGTACTTAAAATGGGTGGGCAGTAGGGTACGAGGAAGACAGGAATTCAAGTGACAAGGGAGACAACAAGGATCCAATTTGTCTTCTCTGGCAGCATGGAGAACAGAACCCCAAATAGATTAAAGTGCAAGGTTGTATGTTTTGAGGGGAAATCATAGCAGGTGCCCAAAATCTGGAAAATGATGCACAAAGGAAGCTCCCAAGTCTTCAGGCCCAAGATTCTGAAGAATGGAGAAGCCCCTCGGTGATGCACCATACAGCAGTTTGGAAGGAAGTCCCTTGAGCGCAATGTCTAAGTCTTATGAATGCGGTCCCCATGTACAGTAACTGACACTTAGCTGGTGCTTGATATATTTTAATGAACAAATGAACATGTGTACTTGGAAGCAATAATTGGACACTCCAAAGGCAACATTCCTTGGACAACTAGAACACAAATTGAAGGACAGATCGCTATTGCCCCACCCCACTTCCAGCACCCTCAGGAAGAAGGAAAAAAAATTAGGAACATAACAGAGAAGGAACAACCAGAGAGGTAAGAAAACAAGGAAAGTTCGTATCTTGGAATCTTGGGGGAGAACTGGAAGTCTGGTGGCATCTCCAAATGCCACAGACAGAACTTTGTGATCACTGGTAAGTTTTTGGAGAGCAGAGCATAATGACACAGAGTTTAATATTTACTGGTGGGAGAGGGTATAGGGTATCAGCCATGTGGCAAGGTGCTTATGGACAAGGTGCTCCTGGGCTGGACTGGTCTTACAGCGCATCAGAATGCAGCAGGAAGAGTTTCTGGAGTGTTAACTACAGATGCACCCTATGTAGGGTGCGGCAGGGAGGGAAATAAGCATGTAATTCTGACCCAACCCTCAATCAGACAACCTGAGTGTTTGATTTGAGATCAGGGGGGACTGGGAATTAACTGGATTTTAGGAAACAGAGATAAAATTTAGATTCCTCTGGAAAGAGCTTCAAGGTAGCTACCTGGCCTTCCTCTCAATTTGCATAGATGTAAGGGTTATGTCTCAAATACCTTTTAAGTGGAAAAAGTCATTATTTGCTGCTGTTTGTTAAGTGATCCTTAAAAGGTATTACCAATGAGTCACAAAATATTTGGATGGAATATTACGCTTATTCGAGCATAGTTTATTTATTTGGCTTTATGAACAATTTATCAACCCCCTGCTCTGTGTCTTGAAGAACACTGCCCGTGAACAGCCAGGTAGTCTCCTGTTGGTGATTCAGGACAGGATCATCACCAAACAGGGATGCACCTGCGGGGCTCACAGATGAACAGAACCACCTGGATCTCCATTTTCTAAGTCTTCCAAGAGAATTTTGATCATTGTCTTCTCCGTGCGGTTACCAAATGTCCGATTCCACTTACTGAAGTCCTAGGAAGAAGTCACCCCAGGAACACAGTAGCTACAGCACTGTGTAGAAAAGCTGTGTGATCTGCTCATCTCCAAGTTCTGACACATGTTTATAAGGTTTTTAGTTGAGTTCCAAGTAAAAATCCGAAGGCAGCTGTTAGTTGGGCTCCTTTGAAAAGAGGAGTAGAGTCCTTGCAAGGCCAATCCATTGGCCGGTCTATTTCCAAGACTTCAAGGTGTTCAGCCATGCAATTTGGCAATTTGTGTGAAATAAAGCACTGAGCTTCCGCCATCTTTAAACTCAGTGATTTCTCATAACTTTTGTAGTTTCCCGAAGGCATTTTCTTTAATGGGCCATCTGAATGGGCCATGAGGTCATGCCGGGATTGTTCCAGTGGCCTGATTAGAGGCTTCTTTATGTGAGAAAAGAGGGCTCAGAATTCTAAACGTGCACACGTCACTGGGCAGCCTAAGATGTGATGGATATGGTTTTCTGGCTGACTCCAAAGCTGCTCCAGCTTTGTCAGGAAGAGCAGGCATGGTGGAAGCAATGCGACAGCATGGTATGGGAACCTTTACCTGTCCCAGGCGCCCTGGCTACTCTGCGATAGTGTTACAAATTCAAATTGCCGGCAGGGCGCGGTGGCTCACACCTGTAATCCCAGCACTTTGGGAGGGTGATCACAAGGTCAAGAGACTGAGACCATCCTGGCCAACATGGTGAAACCCCGTCTCTACTAAAAATACAAAAATTAGCTGGGCATGGTGGCACGTGCCTGTAGTCCCAGCTATTTGGGAGGCTGAGGCAGGAGAATTGCTTGAACCCCGGAGGCAGAGGTTGCAGTAAGCCGAGATCGTTCTACTGCACTCCAGTCTGGTGACAGAGTGAGACTCTATCTCAAAAAGAAAAAAAAAAAAAATTCAAATTGCCAGGCAACTTTACTTTGCAATTATATACATCACACAGGTTTAAATGAGTGACTGTCATATTGGTAAGAATGCCAGGTAGGTGTATGTGTAATAAGAACTACTGGCTTTCTTTCCAAACAGTTCTGACTCATAACTATTTGAAGGTCTGCATGCCATTGGGTTTCTAAGAGGAATCTTAAATCATGGAGAGGAAGCTCAGAAAGTACCAAGGCCTGGTTCAACGCCATTTGGGATCAATGAGCTACAAACTCGCCATTATATGACTGGGTGATGTGCCTAGGATGGGTTGGTGGTGTGAGAACTTGAACAGAATAACTAAGAAAGGGAAGTGGAAAGAACTTCACACTAGTAACCCCAGAAAGTCCTTGAAACTAACATTCCTTAGAAAATCCACTGAAATGGAAAACAATGTTCACTCCACATTCAAGGACATTTCTGGGGAATGCCACCACCCCACACCCATCCCCTCCATCTCCTTTGTTTTCAATGCATTAGGAATTCTTGGATTTTGGCAATTCCTGAAACAAACAAACAAACAAACAAACAAAAATCTGATGACTCTTATTTAGTGTAAAAAAATCCAAAGGCATTTTAAAAAGCAGGACTAAATAGCTAATTAAAACCATGTCATTTCAGAAGAACTTGTTACATTCATCCAGGAACATTCATCTAGGGCTACAGTTACCTGGGCCATGTACTGGCCAACAGTACACTGTGAGCAGCCACTGTGGGCAGGAGGGTGAAAGGAATTTAAGAACAATTCATCACATCTTCTGCTCCAGGAGATGTGGCAAGGCAATTATCTTTGCAGAACATTAGGTGCATTTTATTATTAGAGCTAATTTTTCAGTCTTGGCTTTTAACATCCTGTGTGCACTCTAATGTCAGGAGTGGCTTTCTGTTATGAATCTTACATTCCTGCCTTCCACTTGCTGAATTATCAGTCATGCTCCCGGGCAGTGACATTTGCTTTTCTTGCACTAGAATAGCATTCATGATGATCCAGCCTCTCTGTAAATTAGCCCCTGGAAAAATCTTGGCTCAATAACAGTTATTTCCCTATTCACACTTAACACAACAAAGTCAGTAATACGCCAGGAAGATTCAAACCATGAATCAGGAATACACACCAAATCTAAAAGTCTAATAATATACATTCTTGATCAGCCTATGTTGTATAAAGAATTACATTAGCAGAAAAGAGTCCAAATCAACTAAAAGGCTTCTGGGTTAAGAATTCTCTTCTGGAAATAATGGCCAAGTGAATTCACTTTCCTATTCCATCTGATATATTTTTTATGTACCTACGAACATAAACATGCCAGAAAGAAAAGTGACCAGAAAATGAAGCTGGTGTGAGAAGAAATTGCTGATTATGAAGGTCGTAAGATTATCATTGATTCACGTACCGGCACCTTTAAGGGCTCTCCATTGGCAGCTGTTATTGGTGCTGCAGTAATTGCTGGATGTCAGGGAACACCGAGTGACCAGCAATGACTGGAATGAAGGAAGTGGGGAGGTGAGGTGGGGGCGTGGAGTACATCCTAATGGAAGAACAAGCATATTTCTGCACAAATAACAACTCCAATATCAACTGTTTCAAGCAGAGTATCTGACTGGAACAAAACAAAATTTCAAAAAAAAAAAAAAAAAAGACTCATCAAAAGGAATTAGGGTAATCGTTGGAGATTACCAAAGGTTTATTTGGAATGACACAGCACTGAAAACATAATTGTTACAGATGATTTGTGGATACAGCATACACTATCTATTTTACTTTAGAACAATCTGTGAAGATGAGTTGCATAAATAGAAAGAGGTGGAAATATAGAGGAACTGTTTTTATAGTGTTCTTTTGGGGGTGGATGAATATGCCCCATCTTTCTACCCAATCTCATAAAGGCAGAAGAGAAGACTACTTAGCTGCCCATCCCAACTAGCCTGCCTCCAGCCACAGCGGCTGGACAGCTAGATAAATCAGGCCCTGCTTTCTCTGAGGGGGTCTCAGTGTGGTCATGCTATCTGTCATCTCATCCTGAAAACTGCACAGTACAAACACAGATACTGTTGACTGTTTTGGCAATGGGATGGCTGGTTTTGCCATGACGCAAAACTGCGACTGTAATGCCAGTCAGAATAAGAGCAATGCATGTATCAATGACACTTGAGAGGCAAAGAGTTACAATGGAAAGGAAAGAAAGCAACTATGTATATGTAGCCTTCTGCATACACATAGATCCAGGAGTCATGGGAACTAGCTTGCGTGACTGTGTGTCCATATATATATACATATAGATGTGTTGGAAAATAACATTGAGAAATTTTGCAGCAGTTTAGTTTTAAACACAGTAAACCTGAAAGGGAGCGAGAGCACGTGCTCACACCTGGGCAGGGGAATAAGATAATCTTGTACCACAGGATAATTCATCACATCTTCTGCAGGGCAGCCACTCAATACCATACACCTGATGCAGAGAAATAAAAGTCTGATCTGGAGAAAGCTACTTTAGAATTGGTGGGAGGGGATCAAGTACAAGAGTCCACAGCTTGGACAAAGCACAAACAAACCTGTTATTGACAACATGGGAACGAGTGAGGATTTTTTCCTTAATTTACTTTTCTTTCTCTTACGTTTTTTTTTGCACACATACTCCATTGATACATCTTCCCAAGGTTCGTCTGGCATCAGTCTGTAAATCATTAAGAGCATAATAGCAAAACTGAACTCTTCAGGTTTTCATGAAGGTTTAAAAACCCAGTAACTGAGCTCTTTCTTGCAATACTTGTTGCCCTAATCCAAGCGTCGGGTGAAGTTCTCCGGAAAGAGGCCTTTGTAGGTGGCAAGGTCTCTGTACTGAAGCCAGTCTGATTCCTTCACTCCCACCAGCCAGCCTGCATCCTGAAACACAATGACAGGACCTTCAGGGTCCAGCAAACTACTGGAAAATCCACACTGCCACAATTAATTAATAATGTGTTACATTAGTGTGTGGTTCTGCACCAGGATGTCACACTACAGGTAAAGTGCTGTGCCATAATCAATGGGAAGGCCTATCCCAAATAAGTTGTTAGTTAAAAAACAAAAAAGAAAAAAGAAAAAGATGGAATAAACGTTTTCAATGACTTATTGACTGTACAAAGTATAGTTAATTGACAATTAATATTAACATTATGACTGTACAAAGCATAGTTAATTGACATTAACTGGATTATAATATGAGTTCTTAAAGAGGAGAAAAGGATTACAATTACAACCAGCGCAAAGACAGGAATACCACGTGAAAGCATTTCATGCACAAGAGCATGACCTGTTCTGGGGTCAGAGTGTAAAAAAGGTTTTAGGTTCCTTGGGTTAGAATGGAGTACTGATGAGACCATGGAATGTCTTATATTTCATCCCAAGCCACTTGCTTATAAGAAAGAACTCTGACCCCCAGCTCATATCCTATAACCCCAATAAACTACCTATGTAGGGCTTATCAAATACTAAAAGCTAGATGTGTATTGCCTGATATTACTATTTTGGTTTTTATAATACCTAATTTTTCAAGTTTATATAAACTACAAATCAGTTGGATGTCATGGCATTCTTGCTGGAAGCACTCCTATATCCTTTATAAATTATTTCTCATAGACATTTGTCTGTCCTATAGAAGTGCCATCGCAAAAATGGAACATTTTGCCCCAGAAAGGGTAGAGAACCCATCCACGTATGGTCATGCAGAATGGGAGACGATACTTAAAACTGAGAAACAGAGGCTGTGGTCTGCCCTTGGCTTCCTGAAGATAAGCAGAGTCTAACTGGAAAAGCTGTGTTGAAAGAAACAGCAGGAAACGAGACCATAGGAAGTTCAAGGAGTGGGAAATGACTATCCTTATTATGTTAACCAGTGCAGAAAGGAAATTCCACTTCAGATGAGGGATGGCCAGGGTTAGTCTGAACCAACCCCCAACATAGTTCAAGTACATCAGAGAAAATTAGACCTCAAAAATTAAATGAAGAAGCTGAATTCATTCCCTTTTGATATAATCTGAGACTATAAATTGATGCTGCCATATAGACAAGAAATATCAGTATTTAGACAGCCCAATTTTTGAAGGCAGAAAAAAAACCGCTGGAGAAAAAAATGACTCAATAAAATAACTGATAATATCCTAGCTGATGAGGAAAAGTGCCCTCTTTAAAATTATGATGTCATATATGGGAAGGACAAAGCTATACTTAAAATAAAAGATGATAGCTAAATATTTTCTGAACCTCTAGAAAGCATATACAAGGTCATTTTTCCCCCACAAGTGTCTATATTTGACTTTATTTACAGTGAGTGAAAAATCTAATGGAGCTAAGTAGAGTTAAACACTTAAAAATTGTTTCAATAAAGAAAACAAGTAAAGGACTACACAAACCCACAATCAAGATATATTCCAACACATATATTCTGAAAGACAACCTGTAGAGAATAATAGCCAACATCAATCTTTAGCTGAGGAAAATATAAAAAATTAAATATTAACTGCTTAAAATATGTGGTAGAAAAAGATTTCCAGTTTTGGTAATGGCAGAATAGCTTGTATTAGACAAATCCTTCTGGAGAGAATAATTAAAAACACTGGAATAACTATATATCTATAAATATCTATATATACATATATGCAACTATTTATACATAAAAACAACTCTTGGTTATATAACATATAAAGTACACATTTATACATAATGGGATGGGTATAAATAATGGGTACAACTATTTGAAGATGCTGGAAATGACCAAAAGCAGGCAGAAATTACAGGGTATTTGACCCTTGAAAGTAGAGAACTGCACGGGGTGAGATCTATACTGATACAGCTTTTCCCCGGAGGATTATCCTCACTCAGTGTGATGTGGGGCATTCAGATCATAGAGTGTAAGGCTGTCAGAGAAGCTGTACACTCAGGGGGTATTATCTTGAAAAGAAAGGAGCCACTGTGGGATGGGTATCCTAATATATGTGGATAAATTGCCTTGAAGTCCTGGGCTGACCCCCAAGCTGTGCATGCATAAAGGGTACAGACCCACCCTAACAAAATATAAAACCAACTCCCATCAATTCAAGGGAATTATTCAGTAATTTATATGTCTGCTAAAACAAAAATGAGGAATTTTCAGATATAGAAAACAGAGTCAGACTCTTTACCATGTATGGTCTGCCTACTATGTCTAGTATCAATTAAAAAATTACTAGACATGGAAAAAAACAGGAAACTATGACCCAAAGATTAAAAAGCAAACAATAGAAATATGCCCTGAGATGGCCCAGCTGTTGGAATTAGCAGTAAGAAACTTAAGGCAGCTATTATAAATTTGTTCAAGTATATAAACTGAGAGACAGTGATAATGAAAGAATGTAAGTGGGAAATCTCAGCCAAGAAATGGAAACCATATGAAAGAACAATATGGAAATGAAGAATTCTAAGACTCTAATATCTGAGATGAAAAAGTCACTGGATAAACTTAACTACAAACTCAAAGTAGAAGAAGAAACAGTCACAGTACTTGAAGGCAGACCAATAGAAATTATCCAACCTGACTACCAGAGAGAAATAGTGAAAGAAAAAGAACAGCATCTTAGCCCTCAAGAAGTCCAACATAAGTATAATTAGATACCCAGAGAAAAAGAACAAAGAGAATTAGTCAGGAAAAAAAATTAAAGACAAAAAGCAAATATGGTGAAAAACATTAGGTTACAAGTTTAAGGAGCTCAGTGATTTTCAAGTATGAAGACCATATAAAACAAACAAACAAACAAAAAAAAAAACCCTACCCAAACACAATATATTCAAACTGATGAAAATGAAAGATATAGAGAAATTTATTAAAAGTAGTCAGGGAAAGTCACTTTGCATACAGAGAAGCAATATTAAACAAATGACAGTTGATTTCTAATTATAAACAATATAGACCAGAAAACAATGACATATGTTTAAAGAGTTGAAAGAAAAAAAAAATCAACTCAGATTTCTTTCTTAGTGAAAGTATCATTAAAAATTAAGAAGAATAAAGACATTTTCAGATAAACAGAAGCCAAGAAGATTTGCAGCCAGCACATTAGCACTGCAGGAATAGCTAAAGAAAGTTCTTTAAGGAGAAAGGAAATTAAGACCAGATGGAAACTCGGACTTATAGGAAAGAATGAAGACGTGGAAATGATAAACATGATGGTAAATATAAAAGACTACCTTTTTTTTCCTTTTATTTCTTTACAAAATAACTTCTGGTTAATACAGACAAAAATCCCATTATAAATGGGACTTTTAATATCTTTGAAATGTGTGATGCTGATACTTTTTCTTGATATTGGTAATTTATGCTTTGTGACTTTTCTTTCTTGAGTCTTTCTAAGGTTTTAACAATTTTGTTAATCCTCTCAAAAACCTACTTTTGGCTTCATCAATGTTATCTGTTATGTCCTTTATTGCATTCATTTGTGAATTTATTTTTATTATTTCCTTCCTTCTATACATTTTCTACTTAATTTCTATTTAACGATCATTATGAAATATTTTTAACTCACACTATGATTTCTTTGACCCAGGGGTTATTTAGAAGTGTATTTTAAAATTTTTAAATCTTTGGGGGCTTTTAAAGATACATTATTGTTATTAAGGGTTTTTTTGAGACAGGGTCTTGCTCTGTTGCCCAGGCCGGAGTGCAGTGGCGTGATCATGGCTCACTGCAGCCTTGAATTCCTGGGCTGAAACGATCCTCCAATGTCAGCTTTTTGAGTAGCTGGGACTACAGGTGTACACTGCTGCACCCAGCTAATTAAAAAAAAAAAAAATTTTGTAGAGATGAGGTCTTGCTATGTTGACCAGACTGGTCTGGAACTCCTGGCCTCAAGTGATCCTCCTGCCTTGGCCTTCCAAAGTCCTGGGATTACAGGCATGAGCCATCCTGCTCAGCAGATTATTGTTACATAAATTTCAAATCTAATTTTATTGTGGTAGAGACTGTTTGACCCAACACCTGATGTATCTTGGTAAGTGTATTGTCAAAAGAAAGAACAAAATGTTGAACATGTTAAGTCTTAACCTCAAAGGCAGTGATGCTTGACTTTATTTTTTAAGGGGAGAGCTCATGAATCTCTTTGAGAATAGTATGGAAGTTAGAGCTTTTCTCTCCAGAAAAATATGTTTGCAGATACATTTACTTGTGTTGCATACCATTTCAAGGGTTCACACATTTTATGAACGAGAACAAGATGGAGTTCTCAGTACCTTACATCAGATGACTCTTTTAGGAGGTGATATTTTTGAAGAATCTCTTTAAATTGAGGTATAACTTAAATACTGTATAATGCAGAGATGGTTAGGTATATAGCTCAATGAGTTTGGACAAATACATGCAGATATCCCTCTCAAGATAACAAAGCATTTCCATCACTCCAGAGTGTTCCCCAGGTTCTTTCCTAATCAATATCCACACACCCAGAGGCAACCACTTTTGAAGGGGTCTTTTAGTTCACATTCATAGTGTCTGCATTTCCTGAAGACAGGTGTTACAGAGACAACATTCCTAGAAAGTGGTTACATGATTAAGAAATGGTCAACTGTTTGTATTACATTAAAAAAAAAATGCAACAGCATCCCAAAAGGGTGTCCTAGAAACCTGGTTAATGATCTATGCTGTCACAAGCCCTTAAGCCCTTTTTAGATGGCTTGTAGCATCTCAGAAAATAGAAACATCTTTAGGAAGTGATTGTGTCCTCAGAAAAAATCAATGTAGCACAAAGCATCTTCCAATCTTTATCTTTTACCTGATCAGCTTCTGAATCTGAGGGGACCACCAGCACCACATCACCCCTTTGTAAGGTAAGTTCATCAGAATTTGCTGCCTCAAAATCATGCAGTGTTTCCACCTGCAGAAGATAAGAAGAATATATAAAAATCAATTTCCCAGCCAGATTATAAGCAGACACTCTTACAAGCACTCTCCAAGCTGGATGAAAAGATGAAGATATTTGCCATATGCCAAGGAAGAAGAAGGCCTCCAAAGCCAGAAGAGAAGTCCTATTCTCTGATATGAGGCCATTCATATGTATATTTATTAATAGTAATGCAATGCCCTCTACAACAGGGAAAAGTACTATATTAACCAAATTTTAATTCATCTTATTTTTGTTAGAGATTTGCATTTTATTATCACTGATGCTTTATTACTGTTTGTTGTTTAACTGGAACCAAAAATGTCTAAAGCTCCTCTAACCCCAGCTTCTGTCAAATAATAATCAGGAAAACCACCACTCGCAGGTTATACAGTAATTACTACGAAATAAAACTCTGTGATCAATTTCCGTGTAAATATATTTCCTTTCTTCCCTATCCTACCTTATATACAATGGCAACCAGTTTCTTTTCCTTTCCCATTTTGAAAAAGATTTCCTTAAAATTTTATTATAGGAAAATATTTTAAAGCAGAAGAAATAACGTAATAAACCTCCATGCATCTGTCACCCAGTCTGAATCACTCTACCATCATGGCTGATTTTATTTTTCCACCTTTCCCTCAACTCCACCCCTGAGAGTAAACATCGGCTTTTAAAGTGTATATTTTGCCATTGGGCATATTCATAGAATCATAAACTGTCAGAGTTGGAAATGGATTATGTTATCCCTAAATTAATTTCTCTGATGGGAGAACTGATACCCAGAGAGAGGATCTATAGGGGTGCCTTAGCTTATTCTACAGTTAGTGAGGAGGCCAGAATGGGCCCAGCAAGCTCTGGCCGTGTTTGGCACAAGGCTTCTTAGACTCCTTGTGCTCCAATTAAAACAGAACCTAGCAAGAAACAACCCCCTATCTACAGGTTTAATTTTTTTTTCTAAATTAATCATTCATAAATCCATTATAGCTGACCCTGTCCCCACAAGAGGTAGCAAGGTAGTAGTTACTTTCTAGTGGAGAGAGATAAAGACACACACACACACACACACACACACACACAGAGAGAGAGAGAGAGAGAGAGAGACAGAGAGAGAATGATATGACATTTTACGCTTTAGAAGAAAAAGAGCTGAATTTTGAAATGTAAAATCAAATTTAAAAACTTAAAATTCCTTTTCAGATTCTATTAGGAAACATCTGAGACAGGAAACACTTGGGTTAGGCCAGTGTTTTCAGGTATTTACTAAGTTTTTCGGTAAGAATGCTTTGGTTTATGAAGGCTCTAAGCAGCCTGTCTGAGCAAAACCTTCCTCCCATTAACTTAGCCACCTTTTTTTCTGCCTTTTGGTGCAAGTTTATTCATATATGTATCCACTAATTTACAAAATATTTATGGGCTTCCTACTCTGTGTCATGCACCCTACGAGGTGCCAGAGTTGACTGAAGGATTGCTGCCTGACCCCCAGCGGGTATAGCCCAGTCAGGAGCTCTTGGTGATTCCAAGGCCTGGTCTGAGCCAGGCTCCACAGATTCACAGGCACCCGGGGGAGTAGAGAGGAGGGAGGGCTGGAAGAGACTCTCTCATTCATTACCCAGGGGCATACTGTTTGCCCTGTGGTTAGCTTCCCTTTAGTCATTCTTTGTTAAAATATGAAAATCTATTACTGTCGACCTGGCTTGTCCAAGTGATGTTGTGGTGAAGGGAAAGCAGTTCAGAGAAATAATAATTGCAAAAAGTAAAAGTAAACACTGGAAAACCAAAGACTTAAGCAAAAGGGACTCAAAGCAAAAAAAGGACAAATGAGAGTTAAAAAAATAAGAATACCTTGTAGAGAAAGCCAGGAGGCAATTCCTGAGAGGCCTCCCGTACAGATGCTAGCTGGTCAGCAGTCCCCACGGCTGGTGCAGAAGGCATTGGCTGAGGGTCCTGCAGGGGCTTCGGCTCCGTAGCCAGCTCTGGCGTCTCACTGCTGGGGCCCAGAGGAGCCACGTCCTCGGTGGTCTCCTCGGGCTCTGCACCTATAGTTATTTCGTGTTCTCCCTCCTCTTCATGGTTGGAGGCAGGCTCTATGACCACTGAAGGGATGACCTTCTCCTGGGGGAAGAAAACCTGTGGCAGTGCCCAGCAGGGCCTGGAAAACACAACCTCCTTGTCCTGCACAACCTGCCTCAGCCCCCAGCCCAAAGCCGGGGCTGCCACTTCCATACTTCCCCATCAGCCAGAGTCAGGCTCCGGGTCTTCTGCTGTGCCACACAGCCTCCTTCTGTTCCTCCTGAGGCCTAAACCCTTAGTGGAATTAACTTCTGGATCCTTGAATAGCCAGGCAGTTTGGTAAGCATGAGGTTTCCGTGGAAACTGGGAGGAGACATAGGGGATGGGAGACTGAGTCTTGAAGGGTGAGGGAAACCATCCTGAGAGGGATTGCAGGAAGTCAGTGCAGGCCGGCCTGGTTCTTTTTTTTTTTTTTTTTTTTTTTTGAGACGGAGTCTTGCTCTGTCGCCCGGGCTGGAGTGCAGTGGTGTGATCTTGGCTCACTGCAAGGTCTGCCTCCCGGGTTCACGCCATTCTCCTGCCTCAGCCTCCCGAGTAGCTGGGACTACAGGTGCCTGCCACCACGCCCGGCTAATTTTTTGTATTTTTAGTAGAGACGGGGTTTCACCATGTGAACCAGGATGGTCTCGATCTCCTGACCTCGGGATCCGCCCGCTTCGGCCTCCCAAAGTGCTGGGTTTACAGGCGTGAGCTGCCGCACCCGGCCCCACAGGCTGGCCTGGTTCTTGTCCCACGGAGCCCTAACTCTTGCCGCTGGCAGTTCACCTCCTGTGAGCCCCTTCCTCCCCTCCCCTAGTCCCAGGAGGCCCCCAGTGCCTGAACCATGCTTGCTGGTGAAGATCCAGCCGGGGTTTGGAGATCATCCACCAGTCCTTCGCTTGTGATTCCAGCCCCCCACGGCTGTGGCCGCTGCAGGGACCACACCTCCCACAATCCACTCCAGGTACTCTAGTGTCTGAACCAAAGAATTAGGACCACGCTTTCATTTGTTTCACAAAGATGAGCATGGAGGGGAGTTTCATCAGCGAAACAGGAGTCTTTCTATATTCCCTCTGCTATCAGCGGACTAGAGCAGTAACATTCGTCAACTTAGAGAGATAATACCGTCTTTCCATGAGTACAACAATATACGCAAAAACACTCTGGGAACTGTGATGAGAAAATCTAAGGGGAAAAAGGAATATTCTTTTAAGTTCCTTCTCCCATAACACTGCTATCTGCCTCAGCCCCCAGACCAAAAAGGGATAATGAAAGGGATAATTCAGTTTCAAGTTTTAAGCAACCCTGGAGAAATTTTTGAAAATTTATTGGGAGTAAAATCATCAGGAGAAAACAATACATACCATTAAGGCCCCTCTTAACATTGCCTTCTAGAATACAGAAGAACCAGACAGTGGAGGCAGGCCCTGGGGTTGGAGGCCCCTGCAGTGGTAGAGTATGTGGCTTTGTGGCCTCTCAATGCTGCTCTGAGGCAGTGCCGAGCAGGGCCCGCTCCAGCCTCATGCACAGACCTAATGGCCCAGGTCCCTTTGTTTCCCTTGTCAAAGTACCACACAGTGGTGGGCTCTTGGTGAAAGGGGCCTGATGGTGAATTTGGGACACTCTGATGATGATAATAACCACCAAACAGTAATAAGAATAGTAAGATCTAAATACTATTGAGTTCTCCCTGGGCTAAGTGCTCACTTCACCACCTTCTCTTTCTCCCGGCTCCATTCTCATCCTTTTCACTGTCCTGCTTCATTCCTTTCTCCACCACCCCAGAGCTCCCCCTTCCCCTTTCCATGCTTAGGCCCAGTCAGCCACAGGCCCTGAGGGCCTGTATGCAACATTGTGATGCTGATACTGAGCAGCTGGGATTACTCTTTCTGAGAATCTGATAATAATGTTGTTTGGTGGAGTCACAAAATTGCTACAAACCTATTATACATCCAAAGAGTTATCACCATGGACCAACCAACAGAGCAACCAGCCCACGCCGCCTCCCAGGAGCTCCCCTGGCGGCAACATGGGACACTCACCTGAGGCACTGTTGCTGCCAGCTCCTCTGCTTCAGCTTGGGCACTCTCTGCACCCTCGGTTTCAGTTCCAATTTTGGCCTCCTCTAAACTTACTCCTTCCCCGGCAGGGAGAGTGGCCTTCTCTGCCTCTGCTTCCTCTCCTGGGGCCCCCTCAGCTGCTGACACCAAGGTTCCAACAGCTGCATCAGCATCAGCTCCAGGTATGATCTGCAGGGCAGAATCCAACGGGTCACGTCTGCATCTCCATGGGCCTCCGCCAGGAGTCAAACTCAAGCCTATTTCTAATCTCTCCTCTGCGGAGGCTATTCAGATTTGGAACATTCTTTGCACTCCCAGGATTTAGGTACAGCAGAGTCTGCCATGTATTCATCAACACTCTGACTTCTTTTCTGCTGAGCTCCCAACAATTCTACACTCCTTAGCTTTCCTTGCTGTCAGGTGTGGCAAATGGGATTGGAATGGAAGTGACATATACTATTCCAAAAACACGGCTTTTAAGGTGTAGGTGGTCCTCTCCACAAGCTATTTCCATTTTTATTGGCTGGAAGCAACAAATGAGGCCTTAAGGGAATAAAAGAAATATAATTGAATCTCGAGACCTTAAACTCGCCATGCCAAAGGAAAGCTGAGCTTGGGAACAGAGTCACACGAAAACAACCTTCCTTTCATTCCCAAACACAGAGCTATAATTTCACATGCTTCCTTCATCTTACGTAACATGCGGAACTACAGAGCGTGAGATGAAGGCATGAGTGACTGTGTGCCCACTCCCCCTTTTTATATGTGAAATGTAGATTCACTGAGCACTAATCAGAGCCTCACAAGAATGTGACACTTGCCTCATTGCCTACCCACCCTCCTTTTAAAAATTTATTCCCTTCTTGCTTGCTATTTCCCCTTTAAATTCTCAAAACTCTCTTCAGAAAAAGCACCGGTTACAGATCCTCCTTTGACTCATGTCTCTTTTTCCGGGTGCATCCTTAACCTTGGCTAAATAAGCCTCTCCATGACTGAGACCTGCCTTGCTCACTTTTTGATTTACATAGAACATCTGGGTCAGAGGATGGAAGTGACCTGGGTCAGAGAGAAAAGCCATATCAGAAAAGCATCCTCATCACACAAAGTCAAAATTTCGAAAAATTGCATTTTAGTATAAACTTTCAAATCTTTGTGAGGAAGGTTCCAAAAGCCAAATCACTTTCACAGGAAAAAAAAAATAAGGAAGCTTTCTCAATGAACCCTCAGGAATGAAGGGGAAATAATTTTTGTAATCAAATATGCATGGTAATGCTCCAAATAGCTGCAGAGCCCATTACAGGCAAAATACCAAAATCACAGTTTAGGTCCAGTAAGGAGAAGTGAAATAGAAAAAAGCCAGAATTTTCTTTCTAAGGTAGAAACACAGTCAGAAGAAGAGTTTTAAGTAGTATTTAAAATTTGAGATAATGAAATAAAGGAAGTGCAATCAGAAGTTTCAGTTTTGAACAAATGGGTTGGAGTCCAACTCTTTAAACAGGATTCTGACAACATCAGCTTGACAGACTTGATTTGAGAGGTTCACATGAGAAAGACTATGGAAGAAGAATCTCAGGTTGATCTTATATAATATATCCAGGACACATATTTCAAAAGTGGATCTTACTATCTGATGTGATTAGGATTAACTACTTTTTCCTTGTTGAATACATTCTACCCAGTTCAACATCTTAAATTAGGAAGGCCCTAATGTTGCAAATATTAACTTTCAAACTCAGAAAACAGAAAAGGATAATGAAGAGTACCTCTGAGTGGGCATCAGAAATTGGAGATGAAGAACATGAACCATACACCTACACTTATAACAAAGCAGTTTTAAAAACGTTTCTGCTGGCTCAAAGCTATAGGTAATAGTTTAAATAAAAATGCCTGTTACAGAATATATACCGTACATTTTTCTACAAGATAATATTTTATTTGGGAATGAAAAAGAAATGTTAACAGCTATACTACTCATTATATGTCCAAGTATTCCTCATATTTTTAGAAATTTATTTCCCTCTCTTATGAGAATCTCCTATTATGAGGATGTGGCTCTCCACACAGGGTGTACAATGATTTAAAATACAATCCCTAGCCATGACATACTTCCTTCTTCCTGCCCTGTCATGAAAGTGTATGTGACATGGTTTGGCTCTGTGTCCCCACCCAAATCTCATCTTATAGCTCCCATAATTCCCGTGTGTTGTAGGAGGGACTCGGTGGGAGATGATTGAATCTTGGGGGTGGGTCTTTCCCATGCTCTTCTCATGACAGTGAATGGGTCTCGCCAGTTTTGATAGTTTTAAAAATGAGAGTTTCCCTGCACAAGCTCTGTTATTGCCTGCTGCCATCCATGTAAGATGTGACTTGCTCCTCCTTGCCATGATTGTGAGGCCTCCCCAGCTATGTGGAACTGTAAGTTCAATAAACCTCTTTTGCAAATTGCTCAGTCTCAGGTATGGCTTTCTCAGCAGCATGAAAACGGACTAATACATTATGGGTTCACAAAAGTAATGCTTTCTCATGAATTGTAACAGACACTTATTTAAAGTGAATTATAAATGCTGATGGTTATTGAAGTGGGGTAAAAAGTACATGAGGGTTTATATTTTGGCAAATGGCTGAAAATTCCTATAATAAAAAGTTTATTTTGAAATCAAATAGAATTTCATCTCTGTTTTAAATAAGCACCGACCTTTTTATGGATGCTATTGTTACTGCTGTCAAGAGAATAGTAATCAGAACATAAATTAGTAGGGTATCTTAATCCCAAGAAGAACAATGAGCAATTGCTCATAGCTTTATTGTTGGAGACATTAACAGGGTTTCTCTAGGATACTAAGGACCTAATAAAGTTTCTTCCATGTTAAAAACTATCCTGAAAGAAAATGTGCATGCAATAAACTTATGAGCTCAAATGTAGAAAACAAGTTGTGTCATGATTATAAGCTTATTCTCTCCATCTGTCTGGAAAATCACACCTAAGAATACCCCACTAGTTTCAACAGCTTGGAAGCAGATGGACTCTATCTACATGCAGACGGTATGGACAAACAGAGCAGCAGACACCACCACTACACACACATGCAGCAGAGGCACTGCTACAGATGAAAAAGCAGACAGGATGTTATTTCATGGGCTACTCTCCCAGTGGTTATGCATAAACCCTTTTATACACATATGTTCCAACTACACATTATTACTAATTGGCTTTTAGTCTCAGTTGAATTGATCCTACATCTCTGGGAGAGAATATACTTCTGTGACCTATAGATGGTGTTGCCACAGGTAATTTTTTAAATTTGTTCCATACAAACATGTTTATTATTAACCTGTAACTTACCTCTAGATATCTATCAATTTGATTGTATAAGATTTTACCATCACTAAATATACATGTTATCACCTTTCCTTTGCTAGATAATTTAAGCAGGCAATGAAACTAGACTCCTATCTTTTGCCATATACAAAAATTAAATAAATGAATTAAAGGCTTAAATCTAAGGTTTCAGACTATGAAACTACCAAAAGGAAACACTGAGAAAACTCTCTAGGACACTGGACTGGGCAAAGATTTCTTGAATAATACTCCAAAAGCACAGGCATGCAAAGCAAAAATGGACAAATGGGATTACGTCACATTAAAAAGCTTCTGCACTGCCAAGGGAACAATCAACAAAAATGACCTGCATAATGGGAGAAAATATTTGCAAACTACCCATCTGACAAGGGATTAATAACCAGAATACATAAGGAGCTCAAACAACTCTATGGGGGAAAAAAAATCTAATAATACAATCAAAAAATGGGCAAAAGATCTGAATAGACATTTCACAAAAGAAGACATCAACAGCAAACAAGTATGTGAAAAGGTGCTCAATCTCATTGATCATCAGAGAAATGCAAATCAAAACTACAATGAGATGTCACTCACCCCAGTTAAAATGGCTTTTATCCAAAACACAGGCAATAACAAATGCTGACGAGGAAGTATAGAAAAAAGAAACCTCATATACTGCTGGTGGAAATGGAAATTAGTGCAAATATTATGGTGAACAGTTTGGAAGTTCCTCAAAAACAAAACAAAACAAAACAAAGGACAAAAACTAAAAGTAGAGATACCATATGATCCAGCAATCCCACTGCTAGGTATATACCCCCCAAAAAGGAAATCAATACATCAAGGAGGTATCTGCACTCCCATGTTTGTTGCAGCACTATTCACAATAGCCAAGATTTGGAAGCAACCTAAGGGTCCATCAACAGATAAATGGATAAAGAAAATGTGGTACCTATACACAATGGAGTACTATTCAGCCATAGAAAAGAATGAGATCTTGTCGTTTGCAACAACATGGATTGATCTGGAGGTCATTGTGTTAAGGGAAAAAAATTCAGGTACAGAAAGACAAACTTTGAATGTTCTTACTTGTTTGTAGGTGCTAAAAATTAAAACAATTGAATTCATGGAGAGAGAGTAGAAAGATGCTAACCAGAGGCTAGGAAGGGTAGTGAGGAAGTAGGGGAGATGGTTAATGGGCACAAAAATAGTTAGAAAGAATAAATAAGACCTAGTATTTCATAACACAAACAGGGTGACTACAGTCAACAATAACTTATTGTACATTTTAAAATAACTAAAAGAATATTATTGGATTATAATGCAAAAAAAAGGATAAATGCTTGAGGAGGTGATAGATATCTACCCTGATGTACTTACTACACGTTGTATATCTGTATCAAAATATCTCATGTACCTCATAAATATATACACCCCCTATGTACCCACAAAAGTTAAAAGTAAACATAAAATAAAATAATTAAAAAAAAAACACAGGTATTAGCTGCTGTAACACCAACCACCAGCAGGTGGCGGCTAAAGGCTCTACCTGACTGCTCTGACGTTCCTGACCTTGCAGGAGCAAATACCTCAGCCTCAGCACCTCAGCAATTTACCTCATTTCTGTCATAAAAAAGAACTGCAGCATGCAGAAAACTGATTTTAAGAATAATAAATAAATATCAGGAAAATACTGAAATTAAAAATTCTGGCAAAAGTAAGGTGCTAAGGAATTGGCACTTTAGACTATAAAGGGAAGCCAAACAATTTGAATGATCTGCTTGGAAAACAAACAATTAACACTTCTACACCCTATCTCTGAGTCCATTAGTAATGAATTCCCACTTTT